GCTAAATAACCATAAATATTGCTCCTAATTTATGACAGTTTAACTTTACAAATGGCGCCCCATACCTCTGGTAATAGGTAAAGATAATGCTTTCATATGACAGCGCAATTTGCATAAACGCACATTGTTGTCTTTTTGCCGACACTATTCACTCTCAGAACCAGACCATGTAAAACCTAATTTTAAATAAAAAGCATCATACTTCCTACGTTTTTTAGCAGACTCCTTCCTTCCTGCTGCATATTTCCTCTCTGCGACTCTGATTTAAGCTCATTTCATCGTCTGTTGCTATTGAAAACATTTTTTTTTAAATCAAAATTATTTGTTTCATCCAGGAAATTTATTTCTATGTGGTTGGACTCGGTGTTGCCCCAACTTGTTGTTCACCACATAACAGAATAAATAGTTTTCAAGATGATGCTAAGTTAAAGGTTTGTGGAGGATGTTGTTTTTCCGGGTGGATCATCAAAATAATTGGTCCCCCTAATTGTCAATCATTCTGGAGCATCCTACGTTCTCGTCCCCATTTTCACTTACCAGTGGTGAGTTTGACATAGTGGAAAAATTGCAAATCTTCATTTGGAAAGTAAGCTTGTTAGAGTGATGCGAACAGTAACTTTTAAACAGCGTGCACGAGGAGAAATGCACGTTCACGCTCTCGCACACGTTCTTAATAGGCGCTCCCTCTCAGTAGCGAGTACAGGGTTGTGCATATGCATTTTTTTTTTAAAGTGGAGTGGGCAGGTCCTCCATTATACCCTAAAATCTGGCAATGTTACCATTAGTTATAAAATTAAGAAAATTAAGAATAAGGAAGTTATCATCCAGAATTGTACAAAAAGTTTCCTTTAATAAGCTAGTTCAGTAAAGCTTCTGTTCTTAACATTTGTCCTGCATTACTTTTATACTTTTAAGTAGTTTTAAAAATGATAGTTTTACACTTTTACGTAAAAAAAATATTCTCTAGCTTCTACAAAAGTACTTTTAAACTGTAGGATTCATACATCTACTTGAGTAATAAACATGAATACTTTTGATACCTCTGATTGGCTCAAAATCTTTACCGAAGTTTTCCCTCTTTTTGCTGTTTGGAGTTGAAGTTGTTCCAGGTTTCTGGTTCAGAAAATGGCTAAAGGGAAACTTAGCTTGTGCATCTTTAATCTGCTAAATCATACTTAAACCTGGATTAGATTACTCTAGACTAATAGCAAAGTATTTAAAACAGAGTTTGGGATTTGTGAAAGCTTTATCTGCTGTGAAAAGTTTAATAAAGGATGATTTCAGTTCTTTTTCCGTATCTAGACTACCTCATAACTGACCTAGCTCAAAAGCTACAGAGCTTAGACAGTTCAAACCTGGACTGGATTATTCTAAAGTATTAGCAGAATCTTGAAAACACAGTTTGGGTTTAGTGAAAACTGAGTTTTGGAAGTAAGGAACGATCGGGTGACAATCTTGATGTGATCCCTGAGGGATACGGAGGGCCAAAATTTATCATGAAATAAATTAATGTGACCGTATAATGATATTTACCAAACTGAACGATTGTTTTTCGCTACGTAAAAAAAACACTAGATATAAATAGAAAAAAAAATTCTATTTTTTTTTTCCCATTTATAACATGGATGCATAAACACTTAATTTTATTTCAGTGTTAAATTCTGTTTAAAGTAACAGATTATAATTAAAAATGTCTGCGGACTTTTACTGGTTGATGATTTTCTTTATTCAGACCTCGCTGATTTTTAATGGTTACCCCTGATGTAAAGAATCCGGCATGGTGGTTTGGAGTATAAATATTAAAGTCACAGTAAAGTCAGATTAATTTGAGCTAATTACAGCTGCTCTTCCTCTGCCTGCAGGTCAGTTCCAGCACTCTGACATGACCCTAACCGTGACGAACGATCATCGCCACAAAGAGGCTCACCCTCACAACAAAGAGGAGATTCTAGCGAGGGGGGTCCTGCAGTGGGGAGCGCAGCAGATGGGGGTGACTTTACAAGAGAAGACGGTGAAAGACTCCCTGCAGAAGCGCCACCCGGGGAAATGCTGGGTGGTTCCCAAGTCTGAGATCGAGGCGCTGCTGGGTCACCCCTACGAGAGCTACGTGGTGAACGCCGCGTAACCCCGAGCGAGACGACCACACCTGTTCTTTGTCCAGTAATCGAAAAGCATGAGGCCAGCTGAGAGTCTGCTGGGTAGAAACAGACGTTACGGTCAGACAGAGAGGCGGTTGTGAAACAGGAACGGGTGGTTTGGAGAGAAAAAGGAAGAAGTTAGATGAATCAAAGGGAAAATGTGCAGAGAACTGAACAGAGCCTCTTTATTACTCTCCGTCTCTGACTGGATCTGGATCGGTCACGCATGGAGCCTCCGTGTGCTTTCTGGTTGCATGGCAACAACAGATCCCCCATTTATGCTGCCTTATGAAATCCCACGTATTTATTGGACTAATATTTATCATTCTTTTCTGTATAAACCATGAGTAATTATTAAAAGCATCATTCTAGGATATAAGAAAGAGAGAAGCAGTGGTTCCAGGTTTGCCATGTGCTTTTTTTTATTTTTCTATCATTTTATTTCATAGTTTAGTTGGTTTTATTTGTTACACAAGACATTAGGTATTGTTCACATACTAGTGATCAAACAAGGACAGTAAAGTCTTCTACTACTCAGCCTGGACTATTTCTTTTTCTCAACTGTCGAGGGATGTTGTTGATAGTGTGTTTTTTTTTTTCCCAAAGGCCATACTGGATGAAAATAAAGACAGCGCAACCACACACAAGGCTTCTTTTCTGAGTAAAAATAAAAACAAAGGCGGGAAAGAGGGAACAACAGGTTAACTTAATCCAGTTTTCTTCAGGTTGTTTCCAGGATGAGCAGCGTGTGAAATCAAAGTTGAGGTTGAGTTTTTCCTTCCATTGTAACGCATCTGAAAAAACAGCTAACGTAACATTAAATCCCGGAATGATCACCTAACGAGGTGAAGCCGACACACGACACAGCAAATAAATCAGAGAAGCGAAACGATCAGTCGGCGTAGCATCTTCGGCATTTCGACGTAAACCTTTCCATGAAAAAACGTCAGTGAGAATTTAATAAATAGATCATAAGGATAAGACACAAACAGGATCAGTTTGGAGTTAAAAGAGAAAATGACAGCAGCTTCCTGTCCGATTATTTTTTTTTATTATTTGCAGGATAAAATCTTAAACTTTTATGAAAAAAATCAATAACCCTCCAGCACGCGCTGCACACCCCATGCTGCCGTCAACTTTTAGTCAATAACAGAAACACCAATTTTGGCACAAATCTACGGGGTAAGACTACTGTCCATAAAATGATATGTCTACTTGTCTGAATTTGTAAATAAAACTCAATACTGTGAATAAATTCAGGATTTTTCTTTGTTCCTTGTTATGAACTCATACATACATGAGACATCTGATCATCTGTGAATATAGAATTTATGAATAGAAGTTAGAAAGCTGCAACTTTGCACCAATATGAGTACAAACTTACAAATTTGAATCACAAATTTACGAGTAATCGTACATTTTTGATTCTATTCAATTCAGTTTATTTCTTTAGCCCCAATTCAGAACACACGTCATCTAAAGGGACTTTACAGTTCACCAGATCATCCATTAAAAGTTTTCTATCTAACGAAAACCAGCTGATTGCATCGACTCATTGACTCAAAGGCAATCCCTCACACTAAGCATGCTTGTAGCGACAGTGGAGAGGAAAAACTCCCTTTTAACAGCAAGAAACCTCCAGCAGAAACAGCATAAATTTACCATTTACGTATATTTACAACTCGTAAATCTGTTATTCATAGTTGTAAATAATTTTTTTTTTGTAATTATATCAAAGTTTTAACTTTTTATACTTCTAAACTTAAATTCTCACAGATGAAGATCAGATGCCACATCTATCTTTAGGTTGATAATGAGAAACAAACACAAATTCTATTTTTTTTTCATTGACTTTCACTTAAAAATTCAGACAAGAACGCATATGTTTTTTTTTGACAGTAATCTTACCCCATACAGGATTGACCTACAAACAATGTTGGTGAAAACAAAGCAGTCGATTAATCCGAACAGTCTGAGATGGACCTGACATTAAGGCTAAATTAAAAGCATCTCGGTTCGTTCTGAAGGGGTGATCACATGCTACAATGCTTCTCCTGTTACCTCACATGTAGGTGGGGGCGGAGGGGGATGCACACTGACATTAAACACAAAGGTAAAACTGGGTGTTTTCACCAAAAGCTGAAATTTCAGTCCTAATCTTTAATCACCGAAAAAACTCATCCCGCCCTCCGTGTTTTATTCCAATCTATTTGATTTCGCATTTTCAAAAACCACGTCCCTCACAATAAAAACTTCCCAAACCCCTTCCTCGTCTCTGTTGTTCACAAATTCCCTTTTTTTTTAATGTTTCACTTGAAAAACCATTTTTTTTAACAACTGCTCTGTAAACTTCATAACTTCAGCCTGTGAAATGTGCACCCATTATATAGAAATAAACTCTTCTAATAATTTAACAAGTTAGAAAGTGAACTATTCAGTTTCAAAACTGATGTTACATAACTTAGACGCACAAAAAATGTTTTTTTTTCTTTTTTTTCTTTTGATATCGAGGGAACAGAGGTTATAGCCACTGATTAGCTTGCCTGCTTTGCACTGAGAACACAACGGCGTTGCAAAAGTGAGCGATATCGGTTGAGAGAAGAGCCCGTTTATATGCCTGTGCGGATCACATCACGTTTTTTTTTTTTTTTTTGCCAGAAAGGAGCGACATCGCTTTAAGTCACACAGGTAGAAAGACAAGAGTATGAATGACTTGGAGTGAAAGCAGGGTTGACAGGAGCGGGGCGGCGTATGGAACGCTCCAGCCTTTAAACCGCAGCGTCGATTCGGTCTATGCGCTAAACCACTGTGTAAAAGATGCATGCATGTCAACTGGAGGTGTGGTCAACGAGAACGACAAAAAAAAAGGACTGAAATGGTATGAAAATCAGCGACTGAAGCCGGGCATACGCTGTGCGATGTTTTCAATCGTTGCATGCAGCTGCAGCTCAAACTGTACGTCGAAACCGCAGGGTTTAAAAGTTCGCAGCTCACTGTTCGACGCGATGCTATGATGCGATCTATCTACTTACAATGTACGTCCAAATAATCACACGTCGGACTCAGTGGCGAGAGATTGCGCTGGTCGGACTTGTCAATCTGGAAGAAGAAGAAATCCTTGTTTGCACATGCGCAGTGCTCGATGTTCTGGTAATTTGGCTCGTAGCTCTGCTTCAACAGTAGCATTTGCGCACAAACGACTTACGACGGCCGACTGAATTTCAAACATGTTTGATTTTCTCCCGACCTTACGATTCCTGATCGGGAGGCAGTCATGAGAGGCTGATCGCCCATCATTACCCCCTGTATACTACACGACGCAGGATGAGGCTAAAAGTCGGCCCGATTGAAAAATTCTAGCACAACTGGAGAATCGCCCCGAAACGGGTAAAAAAAATCGTACCGCGTACGCCCGGCTTAACGTCAAAGCTAAAGTTATGGTTCTACTGTTTATACACATCTGAAAGAAAGACCTAATCAACCCTGCTTTTCGGTGACAGAGGAAAGGAAGTGTTTGAAAAAGCATGTGTGTGTTTGTTTGTGAGCATTTTACGAATTTTATTCCGAGTGGAACGAAGGGGGGGAGACCAAAAAAAGAAATGGAGGCAGACGTCCGAAGAGAAGGAAAACCCGCTTATTCCATTGCTATCAAACCATCCTTTGAAATCCTGAGAGAGGGACTGACCGTCTCTCTGACCCATTTTTTCACCCGCCTTCGCTTCTTTTTCTGCTCCCACCCTCTTCCGAGAGGCCCCCGAACCGCCCTCACTGCTCGTCCTCCCCGAAGACGTCGTTTTGTTTGCGCTTCATGTTCTCAAAGTCAAAGTCGGTCCCAGTCATGCGTTTGTAGATGTCCTTGATGTCGTTGCAGGTGGTCTCGAAGTGAGTTGTGGCATCATAGGACCTCGAGGCAAAGACCTGGAAGACAAAGAACGGAGAGTCTAAGTGTAGCTTTTGTGCTTGTCATTCCAATCATTTTACAGCAACTCATTAAAAAACCAGCAGACCAGGCAGGAATGCCTACAAGACCATCAATGTTAATACAGGGGTTCCACAGGGGTGTGTGCTTAGCCCACTGCTGATTCACAAAAGCCTGCACACCCTCAGCAACAATGACATCATCAAGTGTGCTGTGGTATGAAGTGAATTTGTTCCATTATTTTGACAAGCTAAGAACACATTTTGCAAATAGAAATGAAAAAAAAAAATGAAATCCCAAACAGAAACTTTGAAAAACATTTTAATAAGTAGCGATTTAGCTGTTTTCTTAGATTTTGTAAAACGATATTTAATTTATTCTTCATATTTTGCTCATTTTAAATTTGCTCATTTTTGAAATGTTATTGGAGATTTTACGTTATAGATTTTTTGTTTTTTATTTTTTTTTACTGATTTTAGATTTTTCTTTTAAATTTCAAAATTCTCTTGTTCAGATGGAGGATTCATAAATGCATTGTGTTCTAATAGCCTTTTACAAATTATATTCTTCTTATGCGAAGAAGCTTTTCACTGAAATGACAAATAAAGATGCATTGCAAATGGGCTGCGTGGACATTATTAACAATAAATTTTTCCTAATAGCAAGTATTTGTATTGGGATTGAAGAGTTCAATTCATAAAACTTATATAAAAAACAGAAATATGGGGGGAAAATATATGTATATAAAATCTGTAAAAAAAAACAAAAAAAAAAAAAACATAAAATAATAAATAAAATTTGATAAATACTTTTGAAATAGAGAAATCTAAGAATATAGTAAAGGTACATTAAAATTAAAACGTTTTTCAAAGTTTCGTTTTTCAGTTTTGTGTGTTCTTTTCTTGCAACAATAATGGTACAGATTTAACTCCATACTTTGGTGCCCTTATCACAATGATGAAGCCAGCTGCAGGTGCGAGATGAGCCGTTCAGATCAGAGGGTAAGTAGAACAATCTCCTTCTTGATGTGGGAAAGACTAAAGAGATTGTTGTCGACTTAAAGGGAAATATTTTACAGCATGCTCCATTGAACACAGTTTTTTAACACAACACAAATTAAAATGTTTTTTTTTTTTTTATGTTTGCTTAAATGTTATCTAACGGGAATTAATGAAAGAAAGTGGAGTGAATGTTTAGCCAACATTCATATCCATAATACATGGACATAAGTGAGAAAGAGTATCAACTTATAACCAAGAATATTTTTCTTCTTTTTTACAAAACACGCTTGTGAAGAAATACATTGATAAAATTATTTTATTTTATTCGAATTTGGCTTTAGCGGATCGGGGGAGTTATATCCCTATTCATTGGTTTCTGTTGTTTATCTTTGCTAGATGAAGTTATATTCAGTACTGGTCCAATAGATATCGTTAGGAGGCTGTGCTGTTTCTAATTTGATCTAATTTGGTTAGGAGTGACGTGGGGGGGCGTCCACCTGCTGCACCTGCAGGTTCAGGCTGAAGCTAAACAGCTGCAAACAAAAAGTAGATCCTGCTGTAAAACCTGCTAAACAATTGGCTCTGAACTTCACATTTTGAGCTCAATGCTAATGTCAGTCAAGCAGAATGTCTATAAATAGGATTCATTGCATTTGTATGGAAAGCCAACAGTACCACAAATTCCTTACGTTAAAAAGGGAAATATTTCCATTTTCTAGATGTGAACATTTCAATGTGATTTGCAATACATTGTTCAGATTAATAAAAAATATAGATTTTTAAGCGTATTATTTTTATTATTTGAATTATTAATACATTTTAGGACACATTTTTATTTGATGGCCATATTTCAGAAACAAAGGCATTATAAACTTAGATTAATCTCTAACTTTTCATATCAAAATATTTTTACCGGTTGCCTCTTCGTGGTTTGCTGGAAGGCGGTTTTCATGTACGTAATCCAAACTGCAGGCACCAGGATAATAAAAGCGAACATGTTTTGCTGGCAGATTTCGGCATTTTAAGTTAATTTAGGCGTTGATAAACAGTTTCAGAGGGGTGATCATAGCGCTCTGCATCAGCAGTGCTGCGTCTGTCTCCCAGATCAGCTTCTCTGATTGGTTGAAGTGGCATGTCGAGCAGCAAAAGTTAAAATTTTCCAACTCCAGCAGCAGCTTCTTTCGCAGGGCGTCCCGCACGTCAGGTGCTTCTGAGCATCTGCTTTAGCTGCTCAAAACTTGCTGCAGGACCTTTTGCTGCGCCTTGATGCACGTCAACCATTCTCTTTGCATGTAAACTAGCTGCTTCTGCAGCTTCTGCTGCTTTAGGTCTGAACGTAGCATTAGACTCAACTTTATTTATTCCTTGGGATTAGTACTTCAGGGAAATTCTAGTTCCAGTAGCTTATATAGAGAACAAAGAGTTTAAGCAAGACTAAAAATGTGCGAACAAAGTATAGAAAAGATCCAGCTTTTCACCAAAATATCTCTAAGGTAGACTAAGTGCTAAATATAGTCTAAGGTGCTTTCATAACTCTTTAATAGGAGAAATCTGATTAAATTGCTCCCAAAATTGATAAAACGTCATCTTGAAATTTCCATAGTAAGAATTTGAAAATTAATGCAAAAGAACAAATGATTAATTATCAAAAATTGTCCAACCACTAATAAATCCAGACTTTTGGTCCATTGATGCCACTCAGCACAGCTTTCTTTGCCAAGCCAGAAATCTTTAAAGTTACTGTACATTTGTTTTAGGAGACATGGCCGACTAGATGACAAGGTGCAAGGATTGGAGTCCTATTACGGCTGTTTTCACAAACTTCCCAGGATCTTAAAGTTATTTTGTAAATTCACAAACTTCCAAGAATTTTAACGACCGGTGGGAAATCTGAACCGTGTGAGCGCCATATTGACATCAGGACTGAAACGACTACGTTTGGAGCTGAATGCAGTTTCTGCAACAGAGTGGTGATGAACAAGCATTTTTATTAAAATGTGGAAACTCTATCCCACTGATGAAGTGAAAGTGAAAGTATTTCACTCTATGCAATATCTCAGGGACAGATGTCTGCCAGGCGATGCATCCAGAACCTGGAGGTTTGATATTGCAAAGGAGGACATAACATAGCGACAAAGGGAATAGAGCTGAAATTATTAGTCTGATCTATCAATTATTTAAAAAATGGCCAAATAATTTAGTAATCAAATCAAATCTTTGTGTAACATAATGTCAAATCGAAAGAAATGCAAATTTCTGAAAAAATATGAATTACTACTGACAGCAGTTATTGAAAAATAACTGTAGAATTAAAAAAATAATAATTGTTTCCATATTCGACTAAAATTTAAATCTGAAGTCCTATTTTTGCAAAAAGTTTTGGGGGTTGTTTTGTTCCTGAAAATGCAGACAATAAGGTAAATCTTTATGCAATAAAACAAATTAACCATAGTAAATATTTAACAGCACTTAAACTTAGTTTTGGCTCTAAACTAGTTTTAATTAGAGAGACTGAGGACAAAAAGGATGCTGGATTTTATAGGTTTTGCAGCCATTAATCTAAATCGGGATTTTTCTTTTAATTTCACAACAAAAAGTTGTTAATGAGCTTATTTAATTTCCTTTTGTTTAAAACAAACAAATGCATTGTAGGCACTGTACATATATTAGCAATAAATAAGGATGACCAAAAGAGGGGTATAAGCAGAAAGTTTAGACTGGAAAAAAAAGCAGAGGAAGACAGGACACACCTTTTTCTTATCTTTGTTCATCATCAAGTTATGCCTCTTTAATTTCTTTGTTTTTTTTACTTGATGTATGGATTGCAATTCAGTTTGAAATTCACATTTAAAAAAAGAAAAACATTCCCCTTTTTGATGTATTACATTTCTGGTTTCCATACAAGATGCAAACTTAAACTAATTTCTTTAAAAGACACTTTCTGGTAAGGTATTTGCTTTTGCATAAAACATTGTTTGGTTTTTCTACAATAAGCCAAAAACGTGTGTGATAAAGGTAGCCTGCCTTGATAATTAGGGATAATAATCCTTTTTTTGTTATAAAACTATGAAACATGTCATATTTTTAAAAGTGATTCCCTCACTTCTACGTAGTTAGTCATTTACGGAAGTATCAGGGTGCAGAAAGTTGTATATAAATCATCGGAACTAAGTAAATCTAAGCATCAAATGCTCTTTTAATTAAGTTTTCAGTTATAAATCCCTAAATACTTTTTTTCCGCTCCCCAAATAAACATAAATCCTCTTTAAAATTGTATTGATTCAGCAGGTGGCCGTGCAGTTAGCATATTAGCCCAACAAAGTATTCAACCTGTTACTTTGTGCAACAGGCTGAAGCTGTAAAAGGAACGGACTGCTTACCTGGCTCTCAGTGCCGTCATCTGTGGGCTCATAAAGGTCGCTAATAGCCACAAACCTGAGGGGGGAAAAGGAAATAGCTTATTTTTTAGAAGATTCTCTATAGCTGCTTGTTAACAGAATGTAGAGAAACAAGGAAATAAAGACACTGACTTTTGATCAATGGGCTCCAGCAGCTCCAAGGCTGGCTCTATCTCAGCCTCTGGTTCACTAGTCTCCACTGTGGTGCTGACGATGGCTATGTACTTCCCTTGGGCCGCCACATTGTGGGCGTAAGAGATCATGCACACGTAGATGTCTGGTCAATATAAAAAAAAGTATTCAAATACCATGATTAGCAATGTTGGGACCAACAGTTAGTTTTCATTGAGAAAATTACTAATTTTTTGCATTTTGCAACGCAGATACATTACTTGCAAATTAATCTGTCAAGTTGTGAAAAAGACCTGAATTTGGTAAAATGCAAATAAAGAAAAAATATGTTTTATATCAACCATCAGGTCTGTTAAATATGATTCATCTCAGGGGCTGATTTAGGAAATTTGGGGCCCTAGGCAAAGACAGGCAGGGGGCCCTCTGAATTGAGAAGACGACACATAAAACAGACCCGTTACACTGATTTTTTCCAAGCACTAAGCTCACTTAGCTGATTGCTCCTTCCTGTGTTTCCAAAAAGGCCAAAGTAAATAACCCAGTCCTTCTTTTCACTGTAGACAAGCCATGATCTGCTTATCTGTTCTCCATTTTTCATTTGGATGAAATAATAGCTGCATGAATCATGACAGCAGACAAGATAGAGGAGAGCAGGAGGCGGGGTTACCAATCTACTCGCTCTGGAGAGCAGAGTTCGCTGCTTTTAGATGTTGTCTCCAAAGTCTCCAGTAGCAGAAAAAAGTCGCTAAATATGGCGAAATAAAAGGGCTAGAGGGGTCTGAAAAGTCACTAAATATAGCGACAAAAGTGCTAACTTCACAACCCTGCTTTTCGCATTGTTTGCTTTCATATGATTTGCTGTCTGTTTGGACCTTTCTGAACATGTGCAGCAAATGGACTGATCCAATATGGTGGACACTGAAGTGTCCCCACCGACTTTCATCACTAAGTTACACCCTTGCTTAGGACTTGGGGCCCTAGGCAACTTCCTCGTATTGCCTAATGGTAAATCCCCCCCTGATTAGGCTGATCTAAGATTAGTAAAAGTATGATATACATCTATGCTCTGTTTGTGATGTTTAATCACGAGATAAAAATCCACCATTTTATTTCTGTTGTCTGCGAACAAGCCCTATCAGAGCCTGCTGTTACCAGTAAGCAGATAACGCCCACCTGAGTTACGGTTGACCTGATTCTGAGGGATGATGATCTGACAGGAATTGGCGTCATTGGTGTTCTTGATGGGGTGGCTCAGGATACAGATGACGCGGATCACCTGGCCCGCCTTACGGACGCGGTCTGGGATGTAGCTGGGGTCACAGATGAGCTGCTTGCAGCGCGCCACCTGCAGGAGAGGGGAAATCGATCCAGACTGCTGCACATGCTTTGATTTAAGGATCATTATTACCGTAAACAACAACATATCATGGTGGCCATACCTCGCCTTCTGACTTGACTCCAATCACTTTGCCACCCTCCATTACGATCTCATCCACGGGCTTGTTCAGCATATAGGTTCCCCCGTAGATTGCACTCAGCCTAAAAGAAAAATAGGTTCATCTTCTTCTTTCTGTTTTATCATTCTCCACAGAGATTAACACATTCATAGGAAACATTCACTGACAAGCCATGAAAAGGTGTGTAAAAAGCCTGGAAATCTATTAAGAATTTTTGCAGATGCATAACTCCATACAGTATTTACTAATGGTGCATTTATTTAGGAAAATAATCGGTTTAGCACAAACTGACCCCTCAGATTGCTGTTTATGGCCACATACTAAGGGGGCAAACTATTATGTCCTTCCCTGCATTTTCTGTCAAGAGGTTGAAGGTTTCTTCTGTTGCGCTTTCTTTTCTATCACAGTTTTCTACAGTATTGGTTTCCAAAGCGGGTGCAATCAGAGAAAACTGGGGGAAGGGCTAAGAAAAAAAAGGGGAAAATAAGAAGAAAATCTGCAGAAAACTGTTGAAAAACGGATGTCTTTCCATTTTAAAGAATTATATTTCTTAAAAATATAACCTACCTTGTCTAACAGAGTAACAAAATTCCTTTTTCAATTACATAACGATGTTGGGTCGGTCATGATCCTGTCGTTCAAATGAACGAACATTTGTGGGAAGGAACTGGATAGAATCACTAGCATAAACTGATTCGTTACTTTTTAATCAAAATCAGTACAAACTTTCACACTCGCTCAAACAACAGTTACTGTTACTCCAAGCTAAAGGCTAAAGTTAGCCTGGAATGCTCCAAGACAAGGGCTAAAGGTAGCCTAGAAAACTTCAAGCTAAAGGCTAAAGTTAGCCTGGAATGCTCCAAGCTAAAGGCTAAAGTTAGCCTGGAATACTTCAACTGAAGCCTAAAATTAGTCTGGAATACTTCAAGCTAAAGGCTA